TCTTAGTTACTCACTCTGTTTACTTTATTATTATATGATGAAAAGGTGGGTTATTTGCGGTGAAGTATGAAAACGACACTTGTTGTAGTTCTTGTCGTCTGCTTGTTGTTGGGTTGTTTCATTCTTCCTGAAGTTGAAGGTCAGGGCAGAGGTGGAGTATATCGTAAAATATATGGTGGAGGAATTCTTGGAGGATATGATGGAGAATATCGTGACTATGGAAGATATCAGGGATAAAGAAAGGTTATAAACGTCAAGTCAGCTCCTCCACCCAGAATTACTCTGTTATGGCGGCTGAGTTTCGGTAAATAAATAATAAAACCAGTTACTTTTAAACAAACTAATATTAATGTGATGCAGAGTTGTTGTTTTTTAACAATGTAGTTTATATCAATTAATGTTTCTACAGCCTTACCTTAAACTGTCAGCAAGTTTAATATTAGTTGTTCTGTCCTACTTTATTAGTTTGTCAAGAGAACGTCGATCATATTGTATATCATTGTACTGTACTTAGATAATTAAATATTCTGTACTATTTTTATTAGCGTGGGAAGAGAACGTAGATCATCATGTATATGATTGTACTATACTTAGAACATTAGTTGTTCTGTCCTACTTTTATTAATGTGTCAAGAGAACGTCGATCATCTTATATATGATTATACTATATTCTGGAATGTTTGTGGAGGTCACGTGCCCTGTGCTCCAATAAGATTAATAGATAGTTTAATAAAATATTATCAACGTAACGTTACAGTATTTTAGAATTAGCTACTTTAAGTAACGTAACTTGATAAAAGTTCGGTTGTGATATTCAAAATATCACAGCCAAAACAATAACGATACTATCACGTTTATTATGTGACCAACAGTTATTAATAAGTTACATCAATATTTAACAATGTGTATCGTCTTCTGTTGACAATAGAGATTTGTACGATTGAACACAAAGGTGTCAACCTGCATCCCTGTTAATAATAGTTGAATTTATTAATGTATTTTAAAAATTATGTTCTGTTTGATTATTCTAACAGTTAATATTGTTACGTCTCCGTTTGTTAGTTAACTTTCCGTAACTTCGTTCCGACGAAACTTTAGCGACACAAGTCCTTACTTAATAAAACTGGTTTATTCTTTCCGAATATAACTTTACGATACACTCAACTTCAAAAGTCGCGCTATAACAAACACTATAACGAACTAACGTTAACTTCAATAATACGTCTCTCTCTGACTGCAGTTCAATTACTCATTACCTACACACACACACATTATTGTCCCGTCACGTTGTCACCCTCTTTTATATACCAGATTACCCTATATATAGTAAATACTAGAGCATTCGCCAAGGTACAGGATAGTTCTAGAAAATAGGTGGCGCCACACCAGTCACGTGACCTCGATAACGCAACAATATTCTTGTTACCTTGGTTACGGTATCTTGTAAATAAGAACATGTTGTGGATATTAAAGACTTATGTAAGCTCTAATAATGTATATACTGTGTTGTATGGTACGTTATAAGCATTTCGTATTTGTATTAATAACTGTGTTTACACTTTAATTATTTTCTCTTTACATGCAGATAATCAGACCAGGAATTTACAAGAGACTTATCATCTTGGATTATGTATTTTCTAACAAATGTTTACAGAAACTTGTTGTATCTGGTGTAGGTTTTATTTTGTAAAGTAGAATACTAGATAGCCCATATAATAGTTTTACAGTCAACAAACTGTAAGTGAATAAACGGTTGAATACTTCAGTCTGTAATGTGTACAGTTTGGTCAAAGAAACATACACAGGAAACAACAATACAAAGTCTGATAAAAATAACATTTCATACCAGACAGTCAGGTCACAATACTAACGTAGAAAGTAATTAAATTTTGATCGTGCTTACAAATATTAAACATAGAATATTTCTGATAATACCAGTCGAACAGCCTGATGAATAATTTAAACTTTTTTGAAATACTGTCGACTATACACATTACGTCATTTCTACAAACTATTTTTTCACTCACTCACAAATCACCCAGTTCATAATAAACCTGGTAAATCAAAAGAATGAGATCACTTGAAGTGATCGAATCTTAAGGAAGTTGTAAGATGTGATGTTTTGTTTTTATGACGAACAGGTTTCTATAAACTTTTTGTATGTCAATGCTGAAAGGATATCTGCGCTAACTCTCCTTAATTTTCAAACTATAGACTAGAGGGAAGACAACTAATCAACACCACGAACCTGTGTTGTGATAGACAATAGAAGTGTTGGTATTTAAACTGAAATCATTGACAATAAAATATGTTGGTATAAATTGTGTTAATTATTTATAAAACTGTAGTTCAAGAAGATTTTTGTGAACCATTAAGGGTGATAAATAATAACCCTTAAGTGTTTGGGAACAGTTCACGCAACACTGTCATTGTTACTCGTGCTGTATAACATGTGGCTCCGTCTTGTGGAAACCACAATTACCGTCGATGATACGTTCAGAAGGAGCAACATTAACACCAAGTGGACAGCATGCTCTTTGAGTAGTAACGATGGACCATTTGTTTGTGAAATAAAACTCAAGAGTAAAAGAACGATGTTGGACTATACACCAGTTATTTGGAATGTCTAACTATGAAAATCCTCACACTTCATCTATTTATTCAATAATGATTAAAATGTATGAATACCTAACATTTTACATATAACAGTTGGATTAAATGTGTCGCATAATGAAAGGTTTAAACACACATACTTGTTTAACTTACATAGTCTAGAAAACGACTGTTTTACATAATAGCATAAAACATTCAATCTTTAGATATATATGGAATGGTTCACACTAACTAAAGGTAATACTATTTGTCTTTTTACATATATACTCCTACACAGGTTATATTTTATATTTTGACTTCGTTATCCCCATTTTTGTGAATAGTAAATTTACGGACAATCAGAGCTAAAATCTAGGGTTGATATCTCATGGTGGGCAGTACACAAATATTTCATTGTATAACTTTGTGTTTAACTTTAAACAAACAAAAATAATCTAATCGATAATAAAGAAAGTGTTTGATTGTTTAAAATTAACATTTCAAGTATCGTTGTTTGTTTAAGTGTAGAGTCTAATTCATTGTTTACATACATATAATAGTTTTACTTACAATCTAATTAGTCTTGTAAAGAACTGTTTTTCATGTAGAGAAATTATTCAAACTGTATATTTATCGTGTGAATCACACTGACAATACAATATTTCCGAACGAAAATAACTTTTCTATAGTCTGTGTTTGAACTTGTATTTATATCCTGTCATTATTTATAAACCCCTTTCTTAAGTACTAAAACCTTTTGATTTTACCCTCTAGTTTTTAATTCAATAATAACTCATTTATTTTAATTAAGTATTACCGAAATATAACGTTTTCTTAACATAAGTATCATAGGTTTGTAAATTTTATCATTCATGGATAACGATATTCTAAACGAACTACTTTCCGTAGATCAATTGCATTCAGAAATGTCAACTTTAGAGAATTGTTTCTCAAGATATATATCATATCATCTATTGTTGCACGTCTACCTTGGCTAACAGTATATGGAGAGCTGGATCATTAGGAATTTGTTGTAGTATCTGGTAGACTTTACTTCTTTCTTTTAACATGAATTTTCTTTAAGGTGTATAATTTGCACCTACTAGCCTTTACATTCTGGGCCCGGCATGGCCAGGTGGTTAGGGCGCTCGACTCGTAATCTGAAGGTCGCGGGTTCGAATCCCCGTCGCACCAAACATGCCAACCTCCGCCGTTACCTGGTCCCAAGTCCAGGAGGAGAGAAAGGAGGAGGTTTGCTACAAGTAACTGCAACAACTTCCGTTGGTGAGTTGTTGTCGCGGCCCTATGCTCCACTGGGAGTTTACATGAATAATAAAAAAAAATATATTATGAATGTTTGTGTGGTGATGGTGCAAATGTCGACATTTGGTCCGAATAAAACTGAACTACTCTTTGATTTGTAAGGTTTGTTTATGCTCGTACATCATGTAATGAATATATGAAAGTTGTCATTCTTGCAGCGTGGTGTCGCTATTCTTTAGTCTATAGATTTAAAAACAAAGTGGAAAACAATTTGACATAAGGCTAAAATTGTTAAATTTAACGTTAGAAATCTTTAATTAAAAAGTACAAGCTAAGCAGAAAAATTAGAAAACGAGCAACATTTTACGGAAAAATTAACTAATTAATATTAAAGCAGAATTTTAACTAAGATTCAAAAGTACTTTCACGACAGCAGAAGTCACGTGACGCTGCTAGCGCATGCGTGACTGAGTTTCTCGAACAATCGGGGAAACTCGAGTGTGATTGAGCCGCTTCTTTGTCAATAGAGAAAAGCCAGAGGGATTGAATGTATGGTTAAGCGAACAGTAGTTACGGTTTTTCAAGTAATTTGCAATTCTGTTTCAGGGTAGTGTGTGTTTTGCACTCGTAGAAAGCGAAGTTATCGAAATTGTGAATCGCAGTGATTTATAGCGTGTATTATAAAAGTTATAATTATAATTATTATAATTGTAAAAGTTATTACGTTTAAAGTGACAATTGCTATGGTTTGATTTAATATTTTTTACATTAAAAATTGAAAGAGTGAATAAATATTATCCTTTATCAAAAAAAGTAAAAGCTGATTAGTTATATGCGTTTTTTAGTTATGTCAGAGCGGTTGAGCCGTTTGTTTTTGTTTCTGAGATCTAACCTTATAGCTGTTACAGTATATTCGGTTTGCTGTTAAAGTCCCTGAAACTGAATATAAAACTGAAAGTAAGATTATTTACCATAAAAATTAGCTAGGGAAGAGTTTAAGATGTTTCTGTTGTTAATGAAAGAGTGAAGAAAATAATTCGGCTTTCATACGACAACTGTTAGATAATTCATTTACCACGTTGTATTTGTTATTGTTATAACCTATGTAATCCACAGCTGCGAAAATAATAGTTTTAGTGTGTTAGTTTGCCACCAGAGGGTTACTTTAGCGTGTTCAGGATTTTTTTGTACTACTAGTACTGATGCAATTCAAAGAAGATTTTTCCACATTTAATCATAGCGTTGTAAGTAAACAAGAAAAGTCGTGGATAAAAATATATGGCTAACATTTTACATAAGATTTTCTTAAAACAAGAAAGTAACTTGATCTAAAAATTCAATAGTAGGA